AGAGATCTGATTCATAGTTGATGACAACGACGACAAAGGAGATGACATGTTTCATTTGTCATATTCATCAAAATCAAAATCACTACCATCATAACCATTTTCAACGTCGGAATTGAACTACCATTTCACTAGAATCCAAAAATTAGAAGATTTTCATACTCAGGGGAGATCAATATGTTTATGGATTCATGCGGTGTAAAAAACCACAAAATCTGCTTGAAACACAAACATGGTGTTACAGAAACGCCAACTTCACTAGTGGTATAAAAATAGTTGTGGTTGACAATTGTAATTATAGATATTTACATTTCCTTCATTTCAGGTTTACACCATGTGATTATAATTAAGAATTTGAATTCAGTCACACCTTTGAACTTTTTTCGCCGCAAATACCAAGTCTCACCCTTCAACTTGTCTCTCCTGTCTGTTACAAAAAGAAAAAAAAATTTCAAGCTAGAAACTAAGTTGATTAATCGAATTTTCTCTAAGGTAAAAATTATGAAAACTATAACCTATAAAAATAAAAAAAAATGCAAAAATCATATCTACCCAATAGCAAAATCCTATGAGTCTCTCCTATATAACCACCACATCCACCTTTGGAAAACAAAAAAATTGAAACAATGTACTCTTCATCGTCTGTATTAAAGCGCCTCACCTTGCTCCATATCTTGGCCATTGTGGCCATACAACCTCTCCTTACACGTAGCGTTTCGTGCTTGAACATGACTAATGCGTATCTACACCACAAATGTTACGTCACTCAAGGGAAATACAAACCAGGAAGTGTATACGAGAAAGAGCTCACACGTATCACTCACAACATCCCTAAACCAGTGATTTTAGCAAAGGTTACGACATGATTTCCCTTGGTGGGAAAGGTCATTTCGTCTCGGTCATCCTCCAGTGCCGTGGCGATTCCTTAGGGCCAAAATGTCGATCATGCTATGCAACCGCTCTCTCTGGGTAACTTCACTTCAATATTTTTGATTAAATGTCACATATTTTACATGAATAAAATCCGCTCACACACACACAAATTTTCACTTAAATAGATGTCAGTTTTGGTTACAATTTATGAATATATAATACGTAAATAGCTATTAATTATCTGTGAATTAGTATGGACAATGTGGTTATTAATTGTGGCATGGTTATGAACAATCTATATTACAGCTTCGTAGGAGATGTCCAAAATACAAGGGGGGAATAATATGGTATGACCAATGTTTTCTAGAGTTTTCTGGGATCGATACTGTGTATCAGATCGATTATGATAATAATTTTTGTATGTCTAACCCGAAGAATGTGAACGGTGATAAGATTTCGTTCGAGATGAAGTGGACGTTTCTCCTTGGTAATCTTACAAGTATAGCCTTAAAAAAAGAATACAGCGACCCGACTGCGCTGTACGGGGCAGGGGAGAGGAGTTTTGGGACGTATAAGCTGTACGGAATGATGCAGTGTACGAGAGATGTAAGTAAAAAAGGTTGTGAGGCGTATCTTGCATATCATCTGGTGCATTTTCAAGATTGCTTGCGCCCTAAACGAGGAGGAAGAGTTTTGGGTAGGAGATGTAGCTTTAGGTTTGAGCTTTACCCTTTTGTTTCTAATTCTTTGAAGATGTAAAGCAATTTTAAAAAATCATGGCTTGCAGTTTTTTCGTAAATCTTAAATTTTATTTCTATTAGGTGATTGTACATGGGTATGCGCGGG